GGAGTACGAAGGTAAAACTCTCTTTGCAAAGAGAGTTTTACCTTCGTACTCCAAGAATCCAATGAAAACTGCTTAGACAAAACACCGATAAAATACACCCTCCTCTTCTTCTTTGCAGCATTGCGCGTTCACCTGTGTACGCCCATTTCTCAGAAACCATTGCCGGTTTAGTAGTTATCCGGGGCTTTCGGAAAGAAGAAACGTTTGAGAGAACATCCGGCAATCGCTTGAATGAGCAGACGCGTTGTGAACTTGCCTCTTTGGCGGCTTCGGCTTGGCTTAATCTCCGCCTCCAGATGATTGCCGTTATGGCCGTTGCCTTTGTTGTTTTAGCAGCCATTTGCGGAAGACTCCTTGGCTGGACAGACGTAATTATGCTAATTTATAACATTCTTCATACTTACAAATATTAAGTAACACTGTGTTATTCGCTATACGTTAGACTGCTTACTATGCGGAAGGCATTCACCTATTCGTAGGTTTAGTGCGGAAACCACGATTTACCAAATTTCGTGAAAGACTATCTTTCTATTCTAGTTAATAGCGATACATTTAACTTAGATGTGAATATCGTACAGGACGTAGTAAATGCGTTCTATTTCCCTTTGTGCTGCTAGCTAGGAGCCTTGCAGACTGCACACAGCGATGACGCCCCAGTAATCGACAAATATGATGAAAGAAAAACAGGTCAGACAGGACCGTTCATTTCTAACCTTTTCATCATCATCAGCTAAACCGACCTCAGTGCTCGGTCAAAATTTAAACTCAGGCGTAGGTGATTATTGAGCTAAGTGCTGGGTTAACTGGACGACGGATCATATTCAAATTTCATGTTTTCCGGATTGTGGGTTAGGACGTGTCTAGCCCAGGAAGGAAACTAGGCCACACATGGAAATCCCATTCTGTCTTATCCCTGACAACAACGTTTATCAAGAATGCGTCAGACCTGTCTCCTGATCACGCTTTCCTTAAACTTTACACCATTGCTCATTCCCTTTTATATTTGCGTTCTTAATATTCACAGTTTTATTACTCTCAAGTGTTCATTGCGCTAAACCGGAATTTGGTCTTTTCAGGTTAGTTTAGCTGGACTTGCGGTGATATATGCCCTAATGCTGGCAAATCTAATGACCTCTACCGTATCTATCATGACCGACACAGAGAAAGATTTTGTTGCTGTTGAGCGCTGTCGCGAATTGGAAGAAGAGACACCTTGGGAGCCAGAGGTTGTCCCTATGACCATAGTCGTAAGTTTAGCTATCCGATATCATTTTGTTTTCTTACAACGGTTGATTAAAATGTAGCCGTTTCAATTTTGGCCATCCCTTCCTCTTCTCATAAGCTTATTTTCGACTTATTTGTCAAGTTATGGCAAATTGTGACCCAGCAGGCCTTTAAAATGGGTGAATGTCATTTGATGGGTCAAATGGACGGAAACTAGGAAACATTGAAGAAATTTGGGGTTATTGTTACTTTCTTGAAGAATACGCGCATCGAGTATCAGCATGCTTTTTAATTCAGATGCCATAATCGTACGATTAGTCATCCGTGTAGAATACCGGAGCTGTGGCCACGTTATTTTGAACACTGCGGCCTTCGGGGATGCCAGTGACAGATAGAACATAAGCCATGCTCCGTGTGATCTAACTGAAGACTTCTGTTTTATCAGCAAAACTCCATCTAGCCCACAAGGTATTCTATTGGGACGACGCCTACAGTTGTGAAGATGGTAAGTCGCGACACTGCATGAATATGCTGCCTCGCTCGAACACCTGGGTCGCGTACAAATAATCGGAGAACTTTTATTTTTGGATCTCCCGGTCTTCTCCAGAGGTGCCGTCATCAATAAACCGACACAATTATCGGTCACCGCCGTTGTTCTGCCAGACAACAATTGTATATGCATGCATTCTGACGCTCTGAAATATATGGTGGTACCTGTGCTGGGTGCAGATCGTAGTGTTTTTCGTTGATTGGGTTCGAAATAAACGTGATTTACCTCAGTAGGAAAGAGCCCTGAAAAGCTATAATCATTTTTCTTTGAAGTTGGGTCAAAATTAAGTCTTTTGGAACTTGTCTTATATGTCTATCCTTTTGTCGTTAGCCGAATTATTGTTCAATCACAACCGAAATGTTCATCTAACCCCTGAGATGACCGGCCCATTTTCTTGTTATCGTCATTTGAACCAGAGGTAAAGATAAAATTGCCCCGAGGGCGTTAGACAACTGTACCTAAATAATTACTATACGTATTATAGTAGGCGTAGTTATGCTTATTACTGCACCGCGCAACACGGAAATTTTTAGCTTCCTGTGGTTACTTTTAGCTTTATTAGTTTTGCTCTTAGTTTAGTTTCTTAGTGTAATTTTAGTTTAATTTTTTATTCAATTTAATTTTTTTATGCGACGTGTGATTGTTTTTCGGCTTATCGTACTACTGTATCTGTCCAAATGCATAAGAAGCCATTGTGAGTCTTAAAAAAATGGGAAAAAGCCCATATTTCACAGTTTAATTTTAATCTCTAAGTTTCGATATGGGGTCGATATTGGCATGTTGCCTATTTGCAGGTACTTCTGCGCAGATCTTGTTTTCTATTGGTTATATTTATCATTTTAATTATCGCTTGCTAAACATTATTATATTTAAATAACTAGCGCGGAAGCCCGGCTTCGCCTTGGGCTTCCTTACATGTTGTTG